ATCGTATTTCTCGATATAATCGTGAAGTAGACGGAAGTAATTATGGTAATCTTCAAAATCGTCAGCTTTTTTGCGGTTTTGGTCGATGCCGGCGGTGTTTCTGGTGATAATTTTCTCTCTGTTCCGCCGAAGAAATCTTGTAACCCAGCTGTTAGATGGCTGTCTTTTTGCAATATTGGCAACATATTTTTTAATCATCTCTCGGGACGGTGGAGTACTACGCTCAGAGAGTTTTTCTATGTGCTGGACAAGGTATTTCTCTTGTTGTGGTGAGAGTAGTCGTCGTGGGTGTGCAGCGGCTGCACGCGACCGCGTTTTGTTTTGGTGGCGACGCGTCAAAGTTGATGCCGCAACACCATATATTTTTGCAGCTGCACGGTACGAGATTTGTCCTTCTGGACCTTGCGAATTGATTGCCGCAAGCGCATTTTCGATAGCTGTCATGGTGGTGGAGTTGTGGGGATTTGAAATTGGTGGGTTCTACTTTGGGAGATGCAGGGGGTGTTGCATTGTCTGACCCGTTGCACGCATTGACCGCCCACACTAGCGCTCATGGTGAGACGAAGGGCATGGCTTGGGAAAAGTTGGGGTAACTTGGTCTTGATGCATCCGTGTCCTTTGCTGCAATCATACCCAGTGTGTGGCGTAGTTGGGAGGGGACTCCCTGCGACTGTCAAGACACATAGCCCGACGGATCAGACGAAACCAAGATAGCCAACTCATCCACCCATATGTACATTTGTCTGTGCGGCCATCGTGGGGTAATGGCCAGTGTCCATCCCAGGAACGGCTATTGGAGACGGTGATCGACATTCGATGTGTTCGCCAAGATGCTGTTGGTATGCCGCCGATTACACTCGATTAACGTTAGCCGGATGTCTTAGGCCCCTGGAGAGAGTGCAAAGCAGAGAAAAGCCGTGTCGCAGATTTATTCTGCGGTGGTGGTGGCAAAGAGATCGTCTTAAAGTGCCTGCAGTCGTTCTGTGCAACCCGAGTGTAGACGTGGCAGGTGTACTGGCTATGTTAGAATTTAGCGCTGCCATGGAGGATACGTCGAATCGGCTGCAGGCCGACCAAGTTGCCAGATGTTCTAATCGTTTCCGGGACTGCGTGAGCGGTCGGCTCATAGAAAGTGTCCTGGGGCTCGGTCTTTCTCGCTGCCCAATGGCGTCGGTTGGGCTGAGCAGGGCGAACAGTGAGGCGAAAGGCATCAGTGCGTCCACGCCCAACGAAGGACTTGGTTGCAATGGATGCGTCGCACCCTCGTCCCGAACGAGGACCGGTGTGGAAAGCTCATGTAAGCGAACCTGGAACACAAGGCCGTCGATCATGTGTATAAGTCGTCTGCGTGCCCAACCTCGACTCTATCCCCAAGCACGCGCCTAACACACAAATCGGCCCTCATCTTGTCTCTTACCGTGAAAGCTCCCACTCGAACATCATGGCTGTACCCAATTCGTACTTTGTTCCTGGCTTTGGCATTTCCAGAGCTGTCATCCAGAATGAGATCCGTTATCACTGTGGGCCCGATGCGATAGTCCGACCGTACACCTTTCAGGTACTTGATACTGGCCATTGTACGATGCAACATATGCTGACCCGACAATCAGGGCCGCGACGGCTTCCTGATTACGACGATCGGACCTCCATTGACCAAGGTACATGTCGTACTCGACCCTGATGTCCAGAGTCTAACAATCGACAGGCTCAAATCGACGACTTGAAGATGTCTTCTCTTGAGTACGAAGAAAAACAGTCCCGTATCGCCGACGAGCCAAACGTCTTTGTCAACGCTCCCATCCCGATTAACCAGAGAATACGACGAGGCACCTAATGGCGGTGCCTGACCCGGCCGTGGCTAGTTGGATACCACGACCGAGCTCCCGAAAAGCGTCTGCCTTATACCCCATGCTTGGCAGTTGTCGCGTGTTTTCTTTGGCTGGAATCCTGATTTAGCGTGCATATCGTCTCTCGGTGGTCATTTGATGATTTCATGATATACGTCGTTTTGGTTCCGTTGGTGATTTGGATCTGGTGTTTGGAATTCCAAAGAGTCTCTCCTCGAGACTGGTGTTTACTTGAACGAACTGAGAAAATTGTAGCCTTAGTCTCCGACGAAAGTATTTGTTGATTTCCGAACCTCAATCGCCCCAAGGAATGTCGTGTCGCCGTGCATGGCCATGGTCTCGACACGGTCGTGTCTGTTGCTAGGTCTCTTTGGTCACTTGTTGTACGCGGCGAGGGTGACGATGGCGTTCGGATCTCACACTGCGTATCGCAGTGGGCTGGCGTGCAGGAATTGGTGAGCAAAAATGCGGACAGCATTGACTGTCTCCAAGATGAGAGTGTCGTCACCTTTGGACTGACTGACTGATCTGGCGGTGGGAGCTTGTTACGCTACCGGTGCCATGTCGCATTGTATTGTAGATTGATGACAACGTGAAGTTGAGGAGAGATGAAGGTAAGATGTGTGTGTGTCGAGCATTGCTGAGGTTGTGGTGACAAGAAGGAGCTTAAGCCACTTCCAAGACGCAGGGACGAGTGGCGTGTGATTGGACAAAGCGCGCGCGAAATTGTGACTGGTGTGAAGTGTCGTCACAAACAACGCAGCGTGATTGATGTGACGACAAGCGCCTCGACACGTCGTGATGTGCGCTGTCCAACCAACCAGTCATTACACGTCGCGTAGAGTTGACTCACAGTCGCGGATTGCAAATTCTTGGTGCGAACAGAACTCACAAACTCATCCAGCCGCCACACACTCTTCCAGCCAGCGCCTTTAGATTTCTTCGGCTTTATATGTCATGAACGCTTCTTGCTTCTGTCCGGCCCAGACAGAGGCAGAGCTTTGGTGCCATTGCGCTCTCCCGCACCTTTGGCGATCTTCACGTCATTGCAAGGGCCTCAAGTGAACAAATGCTGTCCAACCTCGCTAGACATTGATGATCTACAAAGAATCAACCATTGGAAAGCCGAGAAACAGTTTGAATGTGAATTCCTGGCGCAAACCTGGGCGACCTACTCTAACAGGTTATGGACTAGTCTGAAAACGGTCACTGGACCAGCGTCAGTAGATGAATTCTCGCCCAAAGCTCCACTATACAGCCTTCCACTGTGTGACTGCCAAAAAAGGACGAGTCTCCTTGTGTCATGTCGTCTACCGGCCATCCTTTCGCTCAAACAAACAACCACCATCGTTGCCTGATTGCAATCCACAACCCACCTTGTGCCACTCGAAGAACCGGAATGCAGGCACACTATCCAACTCTGCATGTTATGCACAAAGTCTCTGACAAGAGCAGTTTCGCTGACGTAATGTCACGCAGCCCCGCCGTACCCACATGGTGACATGTCCTGCAGCCCGAGACACAGCTGTTTTGCGCAATATAGTCATGCCAAATACCTGACTTTTCATCGAAGCAACATTACGGCACTTTGGCGGAGTGGTTAACGCGCTGGCCTGCTAGTCCCAAACGGGAAAGCCAGCCAGTTCCTTCGGGAGCGAGAGTTCGAATCTCTCAGGTGTCGCATTAACTACTTTCTTTTTGCTATTGCACTGTGTTCGAGTCACACGGGTGTGTACGAACCACTTCCTTTTTGCCGGTTTATTGTACTCTATGCATTGTGATTGTGGGAGCGGACTGATATCTTGGACCAATCGTGTGTGGAAGTGGTATGGTATGCACAGCTGGATTTGCCGAGTTCAAGGACTACGTAGCTCATGTTGAACTCAGAATCTACTCCGACTCTGTGCACACGACTACATGACATGGCACATGTCTGGACCCTGGCTCTTTGCACCCTCTTCGGTGGTTGTCTTTGCACATGTTTTGGCAATATCCTCGAGCACCTCGCGACACAACTCGCCCGTCAATGCACTGCACTCGGCATAGCGATCGCATAGCATACCCTGTGCAGTCTGTACCCCTTCATGCGGCATGACACTGGGACCCTTGCCCTTGCTATCAGGCCCGAGCTCCTCTATTGTCCACTGCTTCCTCAGATCGCGCTTGAGCCCCAGGACCATGACGGGCAGATTCTCGTCCTGGTTGAAGTGCTTGTTCACGATGGGCAGCCACGTCGATGCCAGAGACTCGAGCGAGGCGCGCGAAGAGATGTCGTAGCAAAGAATCACGAATTGGGGGTGTAGCAGAGTGTAATTGTAGGGCGATGCGGTGTCAAAGAATTGCAGTCTATAAGAGCGGCCGTAAAGTGTAATGTCAAAAGCGTAGGGCTGGTCCATGTCGCGTAGCTTGGGCAGCTGGTAAGGCGGGAGGTTGTCGCCTTGGGGCCGGATACCCAGGGTCAGGCGTCTAATGAGAGCGAGGTCAGCAATGCCTGTAATAGAGCTCTCTGCCATGCACACACGGTGCCTAGGAAACGCCGGACCAAGCGCGCTCGTGGGTAGACTCACGATAAGAACGTCGACTTTCCAACCTCTGCGTCCCCGAGTAACAGCACATTGATTTCTGGAGGCAGCGACGTGTAGGCCATGGTGGGTCGTCTGCCTTGGGCGCGAATATTCAAGGGGGCTTCATGTTTGCAATCGCGACGGAGGGTCGAGTTGGAGTGGAGTGCTTGGGCACGGAGATAGGCGTTAATCCTGTCTTGGCAGAGGTGTAGTCAAGACGATGACAGCATTCGTTGCCGTCGACGTCAGCCACACGAAACCTCATATGGGTCTTTAACCGTGACAATTCCTGGTTAGCACGTTGCACGAGAGAAATGGCTGGTATCCCTGGATTGACTAGGCACATCACGCTTGGACCCAATGAGTTTGCACCGCTCCAGCGAACATGTGTTGCCTTGACGAGGACGTCTTCATTCACTCCGCACTGGCAATCAAGGATTGACTGAAATTACAGCGATCCCCGAGACGATTACGTGCGTTTACATGGAATATCCTGACGCCATCCGCCACAGGTCCGGCTACTCCTTTGTCGCTATTCTGGCTATTGTCACCTCCACAGGGTTAGGCACAGGGCGAATACAACCGCTAATTACAATCAGCAGTACCTTGTCCAACGCCTCAACAGCCTTTGCCTACGAATATACTCCCACACGAGCCGTGGCTAGGTAATTGCGATGCAAAATGGCCACAACTTAGGCCTGCCGGCTGTGCGATGCAGGGCCCCGCATTTGATACCCGCGATAGCAATAGTGTTGTCCTTGGCCAGAAACCTCAATTACCCGTGCCTGGCAACAACCGCTGCTGGCCTTGGCAGCGCACTTGTCACCACAAACCAGGAGTCTGGATCCCTTGCCCTCGCGTCGTGACCAGGACCATGACCAGCTCGCTTTTTTGCGTTAGTCTACCTCTTCATACGGCCCTAGCACAGAGATAACAACTCGGACCTGCTGAGAATTGCAGCGCAAGCACGCCAGCCAAGTACGCTTGCAGCTTTGGGGGCTTGGGGAAAGCATCCTTAATTACCAATAAGGAAGCTGGCAAGTCTGCCCTTGTATTCCAACGGCACAACGCGAAGCACTATGCAACGGCTATTGAATACAAAAGGGCCCTGTGGCGACGTCCTCTTCTTCACGCCCTGCCATCCCTGCCTTGTCAAGCATTCTTTCTACCGCCCGCCATGAAGGTCGCCGCCCTCCTCGGACTGCTTCCCGGAGCTGCCCTTGCTTCTGATGTGCTGAGCGTCGCCTTCTACGCCAGGGAGAAGACCCAGCTGTACGACTTCATCTCTGCCAACAGCGAGATCGACTATGGTTGCCACCCACAGGTCCTGGCCGCGGGCAACGAGCACAAACTGCACGCCATCATTTCAAAAGACCATCTGGAGCACTTCAAGCGCAGCCTAGACCCAGAGCTTGTCCGTGTCGAGCGTTTGGACAAACTGAACAAGCGCCAGGCAGCCACTGCGCCCATAGGCAAAGGCGACCGCTTCAAGGGAGGAAAGATTGCGCCTCGCGGTCTCGGTACTCAGAAGCCCAGTGAATACCTTAAGCTCCAAGAGGCGGGCGTCATGAACGCAGATGAAGTCTACACGGCCATGAAGGGTCTGGAGAAGGAGTATGGCATGCCTCTTTTCACCACGCCCTACAAGACCTTTGAAAACAACACCATCATTGGCGGTGTTGCGAACAAAGCCGAGAAGATCAACAAAGACAAGCAGTACATTTACTTCACGAGCGGAATCCATGCTAGAGAGCGCGGCGGACCAGACAACCTAATCTACTTTGTCTCCGATCTGCTGTACGCCAACAGGCACCGCATTGGCCTCACCTACGGCAACAAGACGTACACCAATAGCCAGGTCAAGAAAGCTCTCGGCGCAGGCGTTGTCTTCATCCCCATGCTGAACCCCGACGGCGTGCGACACGACCAAGCCAACAGCAACCTGTGGCGCAAGAACCGCAATCCCGCATCATCACGACCCGGTGAGCCCCTCAGCGTCGGCGTCGACCTTAATAGGAACTTTGACTTCCTCTGGAACTTTACCGAAAAGTTTGATCCCTCGGTTTCGCCAGCTTCCACCAACCCAGCCTCCCAAGCTTTCTACGGCACGGCGCCCTTTTCCGAGCCCGAGACCAGAGACATGGCTTGGGTGTACGACCAGTACCCCAACATCCACTGGTACATTGACGTGCACTCGGCCGCAGGCACGCTCCTGTACTCATGGGGCGACGACATAAACCAATCCCAAGACCCCAAGCAGAACCTATTCAACCCTGCGTACGACGGCAAGCGTGGCGTCGTCGAGGACGACCTGTACAGAGAGTACATTTCGCAGGAAGACTGGGACAACGTTCGCACTGCCGCGAACCGCACGACCGACGCCATGATGGCTGTGGGCGGCCGCCAGTACGTGCCCCAGCAAGCCGTGGGCCTGTACCCTACATCTGGTGCGAGCGACGACTGGTCGTTTAGCCGCTGGCACGGAAACAAGAAGCTGAACAAGGTGTATGGGTACACAATGGAGTTTGGCTATGCCACCAATTTCTACCCTACTGCCGAGGAGTTTGTGCAGAACATTATTGATACGAATGCCGGATTTATGGAGTTTATTCTCACCGCCGATGAGATTGGGCTCAAGGCTTAGGGCTTGACGTCTTTTTCTATCGAGGTAGTGGTAGAAGGTGGCTTGACGGCAAGTTGCTGAGGCGATGGGATGAATTATGAAAAACAGAAGCAATTGTTGTTGTAGCAGTAGTCTTAGAGTGTAGTAGTATTAGTCATTAATGCATTGCCCGTGAAGCAAAATCTGTAGCTTATCATGTCATTGTACAAGAACCTCCTACCCAAACACGATGTGTGTAAACGCATCCATCAACTACTCTGCAACGGCATGAAAAAGCCATGGCGCACGCGTTTTCTACCGTGCAGCATTCATGTGTAGGACGCGCTTATCAAGGGTGCTTTGCCCTTGCCTTTATAGCTAGATGACGGATGACGCTGGGTTAGAAGCGCATTTGTGCTTCGGTCGCTTGGGATAGAGCTGCTGGATGTGTGCGAAGAGGTAGACTCTAGGTCGTGAGGGGTTGCGGCGCCTGGAGAGAGCGATAGATCGGTGTAGATGACTGATGTGTGTCTTCCTATTGTCATTGGAGTCATGTCATTACCGTCTTCTTCGTGTTCTTCGTCATGGTCATCAATATCTTCGTCTTCGTCTTCGTCGTCGTCGTCCTCTTGCTCGTTTTCCTGATCCCACGCTTCACCATTCTCAAACCGCATGTCGTCCTCTTGGTATTCTCCATGCATATCCTCGAAATCCCGCAGTCGAGACGCCATGAGGTCACCCTCCATCACCCTCATCCTCGCATGCTCCTCCCTCAACTCAGTCCCGAAATTCCTCCACGTCAAACTCACCCTACACGCCTTGAGCCCCGCGGTGCGCAGCGACTCAAACCAATCTCTATGCTCTGTATACGGGACCCAGCGCGAGCGCCTCATATTAGGGGGCTTAGCCACGCTCGCCACATGGTCAAACAGCAGTTTGCGGCGGGGCACGGCATCGACGTCGAGTGTCTCCAGGACAGAGTGCTGGATATCTTTGCTGAAGCAGAGCCACTCGGTGGTGCCGTTGTTCATGCGAATCCCGAGCGCAGAGCCGCCCCTGTGGAAGGCCCCCGGGAGATAACATGCTTCGAGGCTGCCGGGGGGCACCTCGTCGCCTGCGGGGACGTGGTGGCTTGATAGCAAGTCAGGGCCAATGAGCACATCGATGTAGCCGTGCTCGCCTTTTTCCAGCAGCACACGCAGGTCCTGGACTGACAGCAGAGAGGCGCGGAAGTGGTAGATGGAAATATCGGTTTTGTACCGGTAATACGCGCATTGCCTCATTCTTGTTTTCCAGCTGTAGAAGAAGCCCCACGTGCTGTTTTCGTTTAGGTCTTGAATTCGTGATCAGAGGAGAAGAAGAGGAGGAGAAAGTTGTCTAAAGGGCGTCAATACTAGTGGTGGGATTAAGTTGAAAAGGAGCGGTTGAGACTTTTGGTTGGAAAAAATAAAACTTGGGTTTGGTTGCTTGCACATAGGTTATATATGGAAAGGGGGGAGTGAGCGGCGTGTCGCCCATGGTGGTTTAGCGTGGGTGGCTTGCTTTCACCGTGAGGGGTGAATTAGGGCGTGGGCATAGTGAAAGATGAAGGCGGCGGTGGGTTGTAAACAAACAACGTTGCCTGGCTTTGGTGAACCGTTGCTCGTCTTGTTGGAGACTGGATGACTGCAAATATAAGGAGCAGGCGGTTGTTATAAGTAGTGCAGATTAGTGGGCGTTTAGTAATATTTACGAATTGATGAGTTAGAATGTAGAAATATACTCAGCGTGGTTTGGGTCGAGGTTAAGATGTGATTTTCAGCATGGTGTAGCACTGAACCGTGTGGGAAGCCGAGGGTAGAATTTTGTCCAGTGATGGCTGTTGAGTTACAGTTCAGATTTGACAAGACAGTACTTTTATGTTTCTTGTTAGCTCTGAGTGTAGATTAGTACCTACTTGTTGTATATAAGGCATGGTACCTCACTGTTATCTTCGACTGTGTACTCTACTGCATTGGGAGATCAGCTACTTTAGCACGTGCAAAGCACTCGTAGAGCATATATTCGTTGTTGGCAAAGATCAACCTTTCACTTGTCTTGGACCATTCGGGATGTGACAGATGCATGCGGTCTATACTCAATGCTAACCAGTTGGAGCAAGAAGGGTCTCCGTACTTTATCTAGCCATATTGGGAAAGCTGCGGAAATCGGTTATTTGAGGATGCATGGGTGACTGTGATGCACTCATCAAGCCATACTTGTTCAGCATGGATACCTCTTTTGAAAAAGGAGATGCGGGACTCTTCGCTTTTGGGAATACGCGCATCGAAGCTGTTGACAATGGAGATGATATGAATGAGTTACAGAAGCTGTGCGGTAGTAAAGTAGTAGAGGTGAGATATCATGTCTGTAGTCAGTGATGCTGTATCCATTGCTACTGAAGATGAGAGAGAACATGCCAAGACATTCTGTTGGGTAGAGGTCGATATCCAGTTCTATAGCCGTGCTTGGATATTCCAAGAATTCGTCTTATCGACGCTCGCGGTACTCTTCTCTTACTGTGGCGTGCACGTAATCGATGGTGAGCATGTAGCAGGCCGAGATGACGTCGAGGGAGTGATGCTGCTGTCAGCCAGCGCATGCAGCGTAACGTAGCGTACTAGGACTACGGTGGGGCCTTTGAGTATGTTACGGGCCGTACTCTAGATGGTATCAAGGCTCCAGCGTGGTACAGCCGATGATTACTGTATTGAGCCTAGTGGTTACCGTGTTTGGTCTAGCACAGGTTAAGCAGGAGGTACGAAGGAGCTCGGATCTGTTAGGTCCCACCTGTCATTCACGTGCTGGGATTCTCTTCACCGTCTACTAGAAAAACAAGATTTATGACTTCAAGTGTACGTGCGAATAGATCTGGTGAATAAAGCAACTACTTTGGGGTTTTGGAGTAAAACTTGCTGCTGTTGTGTTGTGTCTGTACAGCTGTGCAGCTAGATGGGACATGTTAATACGAGCTCCTTGGTACCATGCATCAAAGTCGCACCGCAGTAGGTCCCGGTGTACGAGGTGCCAGCCATGGATGGATGGTACTGGCGCGTGAACTTGTTCCTGGTGCGCTTGGCCATGTTGGAGGCATGCGGCATTGCTGGTGATACAGTCGTATAGAGGGCAAGCGGCTTAGCAACGGGAGTGAATAGATTGGACGGATGAGCTGACGACGAGGGCAGGCAGCCGACCCAGCACGCTTGGAAGGCTACCGTGGCATATGCACGCTACAAAAGTTAATATGGAGAGTATTATCTGGGGCGGCTCGCTATACTTTCACGTTTTGCCTACTGTTGCATAGTGGTAGGCGGGTCGGCGCCGGCGAGACGACGGCAGCACGTGAGAGCCATAGACAGACAGGCTATGGCGCAATTGCTGACCGCCAGCACGCTGCATGCGAGGGCTGTTCCGGTGGCGGGCGTGGCAGCTGTTATTTCTCCGGCGTGCAGCGTGCAGTCGAGAAGACGCCTGCTGACAAGGTTTGCAGAGGCAGAGGGAGGGGCGCGCGCTCGGCAGAAAAAAGTGCATGAGCCGAAGGAGGCGACCGGGATGACGAGGGCGCAAGCGTGACGACAGAGAAACAGACTGGCACCATTGCCATTACAACTATGCACGCCGTCGCATTCCTGATCGCTGACTCGCCCCAAGCCGCCCGTCCATGGCCGATAGACGGCTAGCCTGGCCTGATTCCCTTCCCCTTCGCCCTGCTGCCCAGCCCAAATCTTTTCCCTTTATCGATAAGAGCATTTTCTACGCGAGCCCCCAGGCCCGTCTCACCAGTCCAAGTCTCTCTCTGATCTGAGACTGCCCGCCGCGCCCCAGCAGCCAACCTCACCACCACCGCCTCTCCCGCCTCTCCCGCCGCTGCCCGCCCTCCAAGATGAGGAACATTGTGGTGCTTGGCGGAACTTCGCATCCGCAGCTGACAGAGTACGTAGCCGCGCCGCACGGCAGGGCGCCTCGCTGACTGCCCGACAGGACCATCTGCAACCACCTCGGCATACCCAAGGCCAAGGTGCTGCTGGACAAGTTCAAGGGCGGCGAGACGAGGGTCGAGATCCAGGAGAGCGTGCGAGGAAAGGACGTCTTCATCATCCAGTCGGGTGGTGGTAAAGGTACGCCCTTGCAGCCTGCTCCCGCGCGCGTCGCATTTTTTTTTGTTCTGCTCGCACCGGCGAGAGTCGCACCGCAGCACTGCCAATGCCCCCGCCGTACCCTGGCTAACCTTTGGTGTCGCGCACAGTCAACGACCATTTGATGGAGTAGGGCCCATGCTCATGGTATAGTCGAGTCAAGTGCCTGACGTACTCCAGACTTCTCATCACCATCTCTGCATGCCGAACCGCCTCTGCGAAGCGCATCACCGCCGTGCTCCCCCTCTTCCCCTACTCGCGCCAGTCGGACATTCCCTACAACAAGACGGGCGCCCCGCTGGCCAAGGTCCCTGGCCGCTCCAGGACCGGCACCTACTCGCTCGACTCGCACCCCCAGACGCCGCACCCAGGCCAGCCTGAGAGCGCCGGTCTCACAAATGGCTCTGCAGCGCTGCACCACCAGCTCAGCAAGGTGAAGCTCGACGAGCGCAACGGCATCACCTCGAATCCTGCAAGCCCTGTCAAGACCAACGGCGTCAAGGGAGACAAGACTGCCTACTTCAACGGCGACCACGGCACCAACGGCACCAACGGCACCAGCGGCACGCAGACGCCTGGCACTCTGACTCGCCAAGCCACCATTACCAAGCCCCCAGCCTTTGAGCCTCAGGTCGGATACCGCCAATGGGTCGCTCAGGCCGGTACTTTGATTGCGGACCTTCTCACTTGCGCCGGCGCCGACCATGTCATTACGATGGATCTCCATGGCATGTACCATTTCTCAACAGAATGGGAATCTTGCTAACAACCTCAGACCCGCAATACCAGGGATTCTTCGATATCCCCGTAGACAACCTCTACGGCCGTCACCTTCTCCGCAAATACATCCAGTTCAACATCCCCAACTACCAGCAAGCCGTGGTCGTCTCCCCTGACGCTGGTGGTGCCAAGCGAGCCACGGCCATTGCTGATGCCCTCGGCATGCCCTTTGCCCTTATCCACAAGGAGCGCCGCCCTACGCAGATAAGCGACCGCCAGAATGCGACCATGATGCTGGTCGGAGACGTGTCAGACCGTACAACAATTCTCATTGACGATTTAGCCGACACGTCGAATACCGTTACGCGCGCGGCAAAGCTATTGAAGAAGGAAGGCGCTACCCAGGTCATTGCGCTGATTACGCACGGCATCCTCAGCGGAGATGCTATTGAGCGCATCAACGCCAGTGCGCTGGACAAGGTCATTGTGACCAACACGGTGCCTCAGGACGAGCACAAGTCGAGGTGCCCCAAGCTGGAGGTCCTGGAAGTGGGCAATGTCTTCGCCGAGGTAGGTTGACAAGGTCCAATCAACAATGAGGCGTGCTGACAGCAAACAGGCCATTCGCCGCGTCCACCACGGCGAGAGCATCAGCGTGCTGTTCGATTACAGTTAGTACCTCTGCTCGTTCAACATATGCCATCCCTGCAACCATGTTGCCAATTTCGCTACACCGCACTCGGCCACGGCCCGCTGGGAACCTTGAGCGATAGAAAAGACTTGGCTAAACGCCTTATTGTTCCATTATTGAAGGCTGCGCATACTTTGGACCCTCCTTTCTATGAGATTTGGATTGGCATGGGTCTCTTGTTTGACTTTGTATGCTTTCGTGTCTATACAACCGCTGGGGAGCGGTCTATATAAAATACCTGAATGTGCAAATAAGCATATGTGCATGGACTGGCGTTTTGAGGGCGGTTCCTTACCAAAAAAAAACATGAATAGTCTCATGCCATTTGTCGGTCGAGTCAGTGCTGCATGTTCTCATGTCTGTGCTGGCTCTGCCTGTACGAAATGCTGGTGTTATTCAAGGCACAAAAACTGTCTTTGAGTATCTGTAAATATCTCATCACGCCTGCCTTGAGACTAGCGTTGAGAGAGCGGGAGAAAAGTTCTTTTTAGACGTTCTTTGAAGTAAGGTAGGAACGATGGGCAATGCTACATCACATGATCAATCCAAGTATCAGGTCCGACATGGCCAGGTACAAGAAAGGACATGTTAATTGAAGGTCATGGCGACTAGATGCGGACATGCAGCTTGGGAATTAGTTTTGATATTCTATTGCAGAAAGAAGAATTACTACTATGCATGTTATGGAAAAATATCAATGAAAAGCGCTATATCGCTTATCCTTCTTCTTCTTCTTCTTCTCCTTCTTCTCCTATCTGTAACAATCTTGAAATCGGGGTATATCATCAACTCTTCCCTTCTTCTGCTTTATTCGCCTTTCCTCACGCGAAATTGCCATCCAGTAAGCAGCGTCTCTCCTTCTCCGCGTGTCTTGAACAATGCGCATCTCTCGCCCTCGACACGACAAACTGCACAGTGTTGTGCAGCGCAGCGGGCAAAACACAACAGCACCTCGCTCAGCATCTTGAATCCCCCTCTCTTTTCTTTCGCGCACACGGTACAACGCGTACCGGTACATACGCCTCGAAACATGCAGTAGATAGCTAGCGTAAACCATCCTTCTCTTCTCTCCCCCTCCTCATCGAATCCCATCCTCCCACCTCCCTACCCCACTATCCTTTCTGCGCGACCCCTCATTCTTGCCATCCCCCGGCGTAAACAACTCTGCACTTAGCACTAGCACCGCTGGCACAACCGCTAACGCGTCAATGGTGCCGTTGCGGCTGCGCTTCTTGCCCTGGTGCCGCAAGTCCATCATGGCGTTTACCTCGCGCGACTTGACCACGTCTCTGCGCACGCGCGGCCAATCCTCGCTGTGGCGCGCTGTTGATTTCGGGCTGGTGGGCGACGTAGTGCTAGTAGCGGTGCTGCTGGACACAACAGTAGTAGCAGCAGCAGCGGTAATCGAGGAGGAAGAGAAGCGACGGAGCCGGAACGGCGATAGCGATGATAGCGTTCTTGAGCGAGATCGAGATGGAGACGTGTCGCCCTCTGTGGCGCCGCCTGCACCTGAGCCCCTGCTGATGCTCGCGCTGGCGCCTCGCGATACAACAGCGCTGTTTGCGTATGCCGTGGGGATGCGTGGGAGTGGAATGTTGATTTCTGTATACAATGGCCCTTCGTATTCGACTTGGAACCGCTCTTCGAGGGGAGCACCTGCTTCGGGGAGTTCGACGGGCGGCGCGTCGTGAGCGTGTTGTGCGTTTGTTGAGGTTGTGGTTGTTGTTATTGCTGATGTGGGGGCTGAATCCAGCACGGGAAAAGGTTCAAAATATGTCATGCTGTGTTGCATTTTGGCCTTCTCTTTTCTCTCTTTTCTTTGATTTTCCCCCTAGAATATGTTCCAACGTCTCTGTATGTGTGCAATATGCAACGACGAAGTACAGCCGGCTGGGGGGGAGCTGAGACGATATCTATCTAAAAAGGGCTGAGATTCGATTTGTCTTAATTTTTTTACTTTCCCCGTTTTGGAAATAAGTCAGGCAGGTTGGGCTGGGTAAAGTAATGATAATGCCTGCCTACCAGCCTCCTAGTGTCCCGAAGGCGGTGTTATGGGCTGGCGGCCTAGCACAGCCTCGTTTTAGGCAAACCGTGGAACAACGTAAACGCCTCCTTTTAACAACTACTAGCCGATGTTGATGACGGTGATGAGCTGAGACCGTCGGTGTGAGAGTGGGTGTGTGGGGAAATTATCGTCTGTTTGTTGTTATCGTATTTCGCTTTTTCTCCTTCACAATGCAGGGGGGAGCATATTGGTATTGTTGATGTTTGTCGCACAGAGTCGCGTCCTTCTCGTCAATGTCGTTATCGTGTCTACACCCCCCCCAAAACCACTGGTTAATACAACATGCCTACCTGTGACTGGCATTGCCGACACACCCAAAACACGCGCCAACGCCTCCCATGATTAGCACTTCAGCTGATCACAACCAGCCCCAATCCCGCACGCGTTGATCCTTGACTCAGCCGCCGGTAAGAAGAGGGGGTGTGGGCATGGGCTTGCCATCAGAAGCCGTTTTACCCGCCGGTGTATGTATGCGTGAACTGCTGTGAGAGAGAGGAGATTGGCGCGCTGCCCTGTGTGTCTGTGGGTGGCGTAGTTTGCGCTGGGCTGAGCAAAGCCCGTCAATGCAGGACCAAGGATCCCCGCCTGTTTGAGCGGCTGAAGACATGTCGTGCGTGGGGCTGAAGTCACAGCAGACGCAGACACAGACATTGCAATTGAACAAGGCTTGACCTTCGTTTTGGGCGTAGCGGCTCCTGCTAGCGCTGTAGGCTTACTTAGGGCCTGTTCGGTAGAACTCCAGACGCCGTTCCAGACGCCGAATTCGTGGCGTGTGTGCATAGCGAGTGACGCACCCTAACAAACTATTAGGCTCTCTAACATCTAGACTATGATATCTTCACTACTAAGCTCCAAATTACTAATCAAAGAAGAGAGCATTAAACTAGCCCTATAAGTAATCAAGAAGCCTTAATTACTAACTCCACAACGCGCTACTATGCTATAGCCTGTTATATATTAATTCTGAACATTCTTTTTAGTATTGTTATTATATTTTACGCACTTATAACAAGTATATTAGCGATAGCCTTTTATGTATCAATTTAAATTTCTTTTTAATATTTCTATAAAATTTCATATACTAATAATAGGTATAAAAAGCTTATTTCAAGTTTTAGCTATTGTAACGGGCTGAACGCCCTTTGGATAGCTCCTCGATGGAATCTCGGTCAAGCAGCAGACGCCAGGTCTTACTCTGCAACCCGGCATCTGTGCGAGGCCTGAGCGGCGCCTAGACGACGCGCTCAGACACTTGGTGCAACCTTTCTCTGACAAGTAAATAAACACCACGCAAGTAGACTCTATAGCTCTCTATTAAATACAACCTCTTATATACCTCGCGATTGCTCCCTAGAGCGTAGCCCCTTACATTTTGTATTTAATCCTAATTAGACATAAGCCTTAGGTAGACTGTCTTCTAACTAAGTTTTAGAGCGTGTTGTTAGTGTAAGCTAGTAACATAGAGTTAGTGCTGCAATAGGTACGAAAGGCCTTTAGTGCAGCGAGAAGGTAGACCATCGCAAGACAGTACACCTAGGGCAGAGCTTCGCAGGAAGTTCAGCCGTGAGAGACAGTAGGCGATTTAGTCGCCCGGGACCTGTCTAGGAAGTCCTACCGTGTCTTAGAAAGCCAAGCCGTAGGCGCAACGTCGCGTGATAAACTACCTAAAGGCCACTTGGGCCTAGCGTATAGTTAGCTAGAAGCAGACGTTGTAGTAAGAAGTCCTGTCGATCCTCTATTGGACGGGGTGCAGGCCGTGCGATTACTCTCAATTAGAGACGAGATCCCACGAGCGAGACGGCAAGACGCGAGTCTTCCTAGAGACGCGACACGACAGCAGCCAAACGCTGTTTAGAACTAGCTAGAAGAGAAGTACAGCCAAAGGTAAGCCCTACTAGTCCTCACCAACGAGGAGTAGGCCGCAGTTAAGGACTGCGCGAGCGGATCAAAGAGCGACTGGAAGCCCTGCATATTAGCAAGCAAAGAACGAGACGTCCAAAACGAATTAGGCAATGGAGATTAACGTTCTAAACTTGAATGTGGAAGAGCTGGCGGCGTACGCTGCTGCCAAGAACCAGGCAGGAGTATCAGATGAAGAGATCCTGCGCGAAATTACACAAATGCTTAGAGAGGACAGATAGAAGGAGGCAGCAATCAGGCCAACGATTAAAGCGGTCGCCAAACGATCGGCCGTTGTGGGAGGAAAGGGCTCACTAAGGCAAGGAGGCTCGCCGAAGGCCAACCAGGATGCCATGGCCCAGATGATGGAGCTGATGAATCGGTTAACAGCCCAGAACCAGGTGCTAACGGAACGGCTCGTGGCACTCGAGCGTAACCAAGCTGAGGGGCGTTCAGAGTCGTCCCATAGAGCCTTTACGCCTCCCCTAGCAGCAGCCGCAATCGCTAAGCTAGCTGCGCGCAGGAACAAGTTCCCGCACCTAGAACTATTTAATGGAGATTAAACGAAGTACGTAGCGTTTAAATACAAGACTTAAGCTAAGCTCTAGCACGAGTACGAAGGAACTTCGAGCCTCGCTTAGATCGAGTACGTGGTTAGTAGGTGTACGGGCAAGGCAGCGGATGTACTTCTACCCTGGGCAATACAGAACTAGAGTAAACGCCACATTGAAGACCTCTAGAGCTTTATGGACCAGCAGTTTAACGACCCACACTAGAAGTCCAAAGCACTTGATCGCCTTTTAACTCTTAAACAAGGCAAGCTCTTAGTAAGAGACTATTACATGGAGTTTAACTGTCTTAAGATTCAGTCAGGCGAGCAGTTTAGCGAAGCAGCTAAGAAGAGTATGTTCTTAAAGGGCCTTCACACTAAGCTGCAGGAGGCTCTTGCTACGATTGATGAGAATCTATCGTACGAGCAGCTAGTCAATAAGGCAGTAAGAACGTCCAACAACCTCTACTAGGTAGGTCTCGTTAAACTGCGCGCAACGAGCTCCTAGGTGGTAGATCGCCCTACTACGACAACCGCTTAACACGAAGCTAGTCCAGACGTTATGGACTGGGAGCCTTCAAAGGTTAATTAGGCGCAAGAAGCTAAAGGCAAGCCACAACGACCTCCGCCCGACTGCTATTGCTGCGGAGAGCTAGGTCATATCGCGAAATACTGTCGAAACGCCACCTAAGTCAAGAAGGCAAGGCCCGCGCCAAGCAACGTTGGACATAAGCCGCAGGAGGAAGTCGATCAGGTGCCGAGTAGCGAGTTGGAAAAAGAGTAGCTCTGGACCAGAGTCTCGGTCCAGAGCCTCTAAAGATGGATTGGCAGATACGTAGCGAATGGAATTAGTTTCAGCAGAAGCATATACGTCCTCTACCAATTACCGTAGATCTTATTATAAACAACGTGGTAAACGCTGTCGCGCTTATTAACTGCGGATGCCTATGCTATGCACTAATTAGCAAGAGATTCGCTTACCGCCACTGTCTAGAGCGCTTTTAGATCCCCTCTTGGATAATTAAGGGAGTAAATAGCAAGCTATTAGAGATTAGCGAGGTTGCTTAATTCTTGTTTAAGATGCATAGGTACGAAGAGACTGCTTATGCATACGTGATGGACTTGTCCTCTAGTGAGGACGTGTACCTTGGCAGGGGATGGATGGACCACTAGGACGTATTAGTATCTCCTGCTAAGAAGAGTATTTTTATCTACTTAAAGGGCATTTAAGTAAGGTTGACTAAAGGACGCCTACAAGGAGGAGTTAGCTAAGTTAACGCCGCAGCGTTTGCGGCCTTAGTTTGTAGGCATAAGAACGCTCTAAATAGCGTTTAGATCTTCGCCGCGTTGATTGCAGACATCGACAAGGCGCTATAACTAAAGAAGCCCGTAGATGTACGAGCGCTGCTACTAACACAGTACTAGGAGTTCTATGAGCTCTTTAACCCGAAGCAAGCAGAGAAGCTTCCACCGCACCAAGGGCCAGGGGTGGACCACAAGATTGAGCTAGAGCCAAAGGATGCTCAGCCACCGTGGGGACCCCTCTATAGCATGTCGCGCGGAGAGCTTCTAGTCCTTAGAAAGGAACTTACATCACTTCTTGAGAAGGGATTTATCCGCGTAAGCAGCTCGCCAGCCGCAGCGCTAGTATTGTTCGCCAAGAAACCTGGAGGAGGGCTCCGACTGTGCATCGATTATTAAGCTCTGAACGCAATTACTAAGAAGGACTGGTACCCGCTACCCCTTATCTAAGAGACACTTAACAGCTTAAGCAAGGCTAAATAGTTTACAAAGTTAGACGTTATCGCAGCCTTCCACAAGATCCATGTCGCACTAGGCGATGAGTGGAAGACAGCCTTCCAAACAAGATTCGGACTGTTTAAGTGGCTAGTTACCCCCTTTAGCATGGCGAACTCCCTAAGTACTTTTCAACGATACATTAACTAGACCTTGAGAGAACACCTAGATGACTTCTGCTCAGCATACCTAGACGACGTACTAATCTACACCGATGGCGATCTGCGCCAGCACCGAGAGCACGTCCGAAAAGTGCTTAGCAAGCTGCAAGCCGCAGGGCTACAGGTAAACATTAAGAAGTGCAAGTTTAAAGTTAAGACAACTAAGTACCTTAGGTTCATTATTAAAGCAGGTAAAGGGATAAGCATGGATCTAGCTAAGGTAGCCGCAATCCGCGAGTGGGAGGCACCAAAGACAGTAAAGGGAGTAAGATCGTTCCTAGGGTTCGCGAACTTCTACTAAAGGTTCATTAAGAACTTCGCGCAGCTAGCCGCACCCCTTACTAGGCTTATAGGTGACGTCCCCTTCTAATGGGGATCTAAAGAGCAGTCAGCCTTTGAGAAGCTAAAGGAGATCTTCGTTACAGAGCCCACGCTGGCGGCGTTCGACCTAGATCGGGAGACAGTGCTCGAGTGCGATTCGAGCGGCTACGCGGTGGGCGGGGTGCTATCACAGTACGACGATGATGGAGTCTTACGGCCTTGCGCGTTCTTCTCGCAGAAGAATAGCGCGCACAAGTGCAACTACAAGATCCACAACAAGGAGTTGCTCGCGGTAGTACGATGCCTTAAGGAATGGGATTCTAAGCTGCGTTTAGTTAAGAAGTTCAAGGTGATTACGGATCACAAGAACTTAGAGTACTTCATAAAACCTCGCATGCTGAACAAGCGCCAGGTGAGATAGTCGCTTCTACTTGGTAGGTACAACCTAGAGCTGCTGTATTAGCTAGGCAAGTAGAATGTGAGAGCCAACGCGCTCTTAAGAAGAGAACAAGACCTGCCTGCAGGGGCAGAAGACAAGCGCTTGCAGAAGCGT